TATATATATATATATAGAGGACTATATACTCTATATATATAAGGGTAGTTGGTCCTACGGGTCGTTCCCCTCCACGCTCCTACGATTCGCCCCCCCACCTAACAGGTCGTCTTTCCACCACCCACCCCATCCGGGACTCCCCCGACGCTTCGCCCCCCCCCCCTTCCCGGGTGCCCCTTCCCGGATTCGGCCCCTGTGGTGTGTGTGTGTGTGTGTGTGTCTGTGCGTGTGTGTGCGTGTGCGTGTGTCTGTGTGTGCGTGTGTGTGTGTATGTGTGTGGGCGTGTGCGGGTGTGTGTATGTGTGTGTGCACGTGTCTGTGTGTGTGTGTGTGTGTGTGTGTGTGTGTGTGTGTCCGCGTGTCTGTGTCTGTGTGGGTGTGCAATGTATGTGTGCAGTGTATGTGTGTGTGCGTGTATGTGCGCGTGTGTCCGTGTGTGTGTATGTCTGCTATGTTTTGCTATTTTATAAAACCACAAGATCATCCGCTAAGTGCGCCGGGCCTACAATGTGGCGCACGTATCCACTGCGGGCAGCGCTTCATACTTGAACATCTCCGCGGTCGCGAGCGCATATATCCCGCGGAACAGCGCGTGTTGTCGGCGCCGCTCAGCGCCTCATGAGAAACAGCCAAACTGTGCAACGCAAACTTGTATCATGTCTCACTGGTTAAAAATCCAAAAAACCTGGGCAATTTGATATTATGTTCCTGACATTAATTGCTTGCTATGGGCTATTGTAGACAGAGAATCCCCGTCTTACAAGAAGTGTATAGAAGTGTTAACACTTGATATTCATAAGATAAGAAAGTGTGACAGTGCCACAAGAAATAGATTTATTCAGGAAAGCTCCTGTAGTTAATAGAAATACACGTACTACAGTACACGGAGAAGTGCTGAAGAATTACACAGTGCGAGTACAATTTACACAGCTATAAGATACTACGCTTAGAAATATAGAAAGTTATTGCACGTACTAAAAGATAGCTTACTACGATAGAACAAATAAGAAACAAGACAGTTATAGGCCTAGTGCATGAAGAACCTTAAGCCATTAGGTAAGAAAGACTTACATACGCACGGACTGACTATCGATGCACGTTGCAACACGGACAATGTTAGCACTCTTGTTAGGACTGTGCTTGCGCGGACCGTCTTATATATACACGCTTAAATTTAGCATCCCCAGACCCTCGTCCAAACAAGGAACCATCCCCGCAACCGAAACTATCCAGCAGATGTTCAATTTAGAATACCCCCTATGTACATCCCTATGTACACGGTCGATTATGTGGGTAACTGATCGGGCCATCCCTTACAAGGATGCCACGTCCGCTCGTGTATAAACGAGTATCTCTCCATTGTCTCGAATCTCTCCTCCCGGGGAGAGCCGAGACCCGGAGTTGCTTCTCAGTCGTGTGCTAAATGTGTACACAAACAACCTTCCCACTTGTGCACAAATACTCCCGCCTGCCCTCGCAGACCGTGTTTCGCACATTCCCTCGACCTCATTGCTCGTGCCTAGTAGGCTATGAGCCAGACCCCCCAAAACTGACGGGTCGGTACCATACAGATGGAGTAAGGCTCATTGTGATTTTTAGCAAGATATATATCCCTAGATATGAAAAAAATGTGATAGCAGTGTATAACTCTCGGCCATCTCTGTGTTATCACTCGAAATAGTATTATACCCCTTCTTCGCTTTGCCAAAATATGTGATATTTGGTAAAATTGAAATAAATATTTTGTTAAGGACTACATAGTTCCAATAATTTGCCTACTGGATCAGTGGATGCCAACTAATATAGTAATAGCAATATAAAACATTTGTGGGGTTATTTGTCAAAATTTTGATATAATGACCAAAAATATGTTAACTTTAGTGAAAAAGTGGCAGAAATCGCTTTGACTTCAAAATTTCACATTGCACGTTTCTGTCAATAATTCACAAATGAAACCTCCCAGAGTAACATATTGCCCATCAAAAACTTCACAAGGTCCCTCTTCATTGGAATA